CCACACACACACACACACACACACACACACACACACACACACACACACGAGGGCCCCCATAGACACAACACGCGGGCATCCACAAACCTGCGAGACGTCGGGGGTAAAGAACAGTCAAGTGAGACTTGGACGTGCTGGAAAACATTTCCATCGCAATTGGCCTCTTGTTTTGTATCACACGCACTCAGGCCGTGCGGGTGTGTGCTATCACATTAGCGTTTAGCATGAACTCCACCAGGAGATCATTTCAAAGGGTTGTACACGTTGCGCAATTGAATCAGTGTGGATCGATAACTCGTTATTTCACTTGTAGTGTAAAGTCGAGCAATTTTGTCACTGTCCTTAATTTATTTATTATTTATTTTCTCTCTCTCTCTCTTCATATATATGTATGTATCGATGACGGTTCATTCTACAATTAGGTTTGATCTCAAATTTGGGTCATTTGGCCTTGGCTGAGGCCCACTCTCCATCTTAGCTCTCACCTTTCTTTGTAGAGTCTCCTTTCCCTCGTCCCCTCCCTCCCTCCGTGCCTGCCTCCTCGACTTAATATCTCTCTTCCTCCCCCCCCCCCCCACCCCACTCCCCCTCAAGGTGTCTAAGCTGTGAAACATTTAATCGCCGCGGTAACGGTTTCATATCTGGCCCAGAAATCAAATAATGCCGACTGATTTACTCCCCCTAGCAACCAGGGAGCACAGCCCTAGCAACCGACCCAGTCGGCAGGCCAGACCTAATCAGGTTGAAAATATTTCAATTATTGTGTTGATTCTAGGAAGTGTGTGTGTGTGTGTGTATGTGTGTGTGCGCGCATGTGTGCTTGCAAATGATATCAGCCGCTATTGATGTGAGTGGAGGAGGGAGTGAGGCTGTGAGGAAAAGACAAGATGTGCGATGAGTCAGTGAAGTGAGGCTGATGGAGACATCAGGAAGCAACAAGAGCACATGGTCAGCCGGGACGGGATCGTCAAACAGCTGGCACGCTCTCCGCGTTTGTGTGCATGCGAGCGAGCGTGTTGTGCGTCTTTTCGGACAATGTTCACACACACACACACACACACACACACACACACACACACACACACACACACACACACACACACACCAA